TGTTTTTTACCATAGGCAGTACAATTCTCATGTATTCAAATGAAGTGGGGTGGGTAGAGAGAGCTCCATAATGTTAGGGAATTGTTGTGGCTTGATAGGTGTCAGTTTGCTGAGGCGTCTGACCGGCAGCAGAGGCGGGTAGGGACACAGCGGAGCTTCTGTACTCCGCTCTTCCTCTGGTCAGGGTGCGCATGCCAGGCCTGTACCACCGTGGCCAGATTGAGACACCCTGAACGAGCGGACACCTTGTAGTTGGACAGAGATTGAGGTGATTCAGGTTGAAGGGAATTGCTCATATCGATGTGATATACATAGTCAGACATTTCTTAAGGGTTATTTCATCTCTGGTAGCTAAAATTTTGTTTTTCTAAAATAATTACCAGTAGAACTGTAATTTCTCCATACAGCAGTTATAGTTAACAATTTTTACGACCAGTTGATGACTGTGGGCTGCACCTGAAGTTTAAGTAGGATCCAGATAAACAGAGGTGGTAGAAGGGAAGGGCATGTGAACAGGGCCAGCAGGTCTGCGGGAAAGGAGTGTCTGTGCAGAAGGTACAGGGTCCGTGGACGGGGAATGTGTCTGCAGAAATGTCTAGCCAAAGCAGTCTGTGAAGTAGAGGTTCAAATGCCAACCAGAATGTGGACACCTCTTAAAATATCCAGATCCATATTCTTTACTTGCGCATTATTTTGTCTTCCTGTCTCTAAGAGTATTTTCAAAGTATGTTTCTTGATGCATTGTCTTGACTTTTAACTAAATTCAATTTTTATGACCAACCTTGAGTAGACCTTTTAGATTTTAATTGATGTTTTGAATTGAGGTTTCTAATAATCATGAATGCTTTTTACACCTTTTTTTGTAGAGACAGCGTCTCACTGTGTTGCCCAGGTTGGTCTTGAACTCCTGGCCTCAAGTAGTCCTCCCGCCATAGCCTCCCAAAGTGTTGGGATGACTGCCACCATGCCTAGCTCTGTCACGAATGCTTATTTCCTTAAGTGAAAACCTCTTTTTGTGACAAACAGATATACTTACAGATTCAGTTTACTTGGAATTAAAAGAAGTGATTCTAACTTAGAATTCAGATAATTTCTGAATATATAAGAAAAATAGAATCTGTCTTACTTGTGCCTTTTCCGACAATCATGGATTTGAGATCCCTTCCTAAAAGGGCATATTGGGTGCCACAGCCTGAAGTGCTTTTCTGTCTGTCTGTCTTTCTAAACTAGTAATTTCACAAAGTTTTATTGCTAACCCATATACAATGGGCATATCAGTTGCTTCTTAACTTACTAAACAGGAAATTGACCAAATTTCTTACTGATCAGTGTTAGTAAACTGTAAGTCAACCTAATTGAGAAGCTGTTCTGGAAGGGATAGAGCTCCTTATACTCAAGAAGCTTCTAGTGGAGTTGGAGGAAGGAACCATTTGCAGAGGTAACTGTAATGCAGGACACAGTGATTCACTGCTCAAAAAGAACAAAGAAAATCCAATGTGATGAGAACATTAGTGAAGAAGAGATGATATCTTCCCTGGCACTGGGAAGGTGAGTGGGCTGGCAGAGGTGAGCTTCGGAGATGAATGATGGAGAAGATTTGGCATGTCCCCTGCATCAGAAAGACAGTTGCTGTAGAGAGAACATCAGCTAAGTCAAGAACACGAGAGTGGGAGGAGGTGAGGGCTGATTCGAGTGGAGAATGATGAGCAGGGTTTAAGCTTGAACTTTGGTTCATGGAGCTGTGAATACCTTGTGCAGGAAGCTGCTGTGGATTTTTACAGCAGCTGGCGGTTAGAAAAGTCTGCTCAGGATAGTGTTATCTGCACTGCGCTTCAGGAAACATAAGTGGACGTAGGGAGACCAGAAAATCAGTTAAGAGGAGAGCGTCCTCATTTTGCCAGAATTTTTTGAAATTTATAATGCAAGCTTCAACCTGTTTAAAGGTAGATAGTACATTCAGATATCAGTAGTACATAATCAGTTTTGCTTCAGTACTTAAATTTAGGCATTAAATTTCACATCGCTTGTAGTATCGTAAATCACCTGTCATGAAATGGTGTAGGATTTTGGGTTCTTTAAATGCCATGTGTCGTTCACATGGAGTCCACATCTTCAGCGTGCATGTTAGCTGTCTAATCGTGTAGGGTGCTAGAATGGAAAAGAGCCTGGTGCTTGCCCTCAGGTATGTGATGACTGCTCTGAATGAAGGAGCTGAAAATGAGGTGACAGTGCCACGAGACTGAGGTTCATTGTGAAGCTGGAACAAAGACCTCTTGTGAAAATGAAAACCGAGAGTGGCGGGAGAGCTGACTGACAGGCGGCCATGCGTGTGAATGAAGCGAGGCAGTCCCGCCCTCACTGTCTCATCGTTCTGTTTTATGATTTCAAAAAGAGAGTTTTGTTAGTGCAGATTGTCTAAAGTATGTACCAGTTTTTCGATCGTGCAAAGAATAGCAGAAATGGAAGGAGGAGGCTTGATTTATTGTTTTAAAATATATTTTTGGCATTTCCTTGTTTATAATAGTGTTACTAAAAATAATATATTACTAGTGTTACTGCTAAACATTTTTCTTGTCAGAGATGGTAATTGGCCATCTTATTAAAGGAATGACTTTTATTCTTTACATTACAAAGTCAGGGTTATATTAACCGGAAGATAATGCCATGCAAAAATGTTGTAAAGTGCCCATTCTCACTGACAGTTGGCATTCTCATATTCAGTAAGCATTGCTTTTCTGTCAAGTAGAAAGCAGAGGAAAAAATAACTAGTGCTTGTAGAACTTTTTAAAAACCAGACTAAAAAGGGAATAGGCATGCAGCATTTTCAGGAAAAAAAAAAAAAAAAAAGAAGTTCAGCTCTCCAACAAGAATTAGTATTGGATGACTACAAATAAACGGCTGAAGAATAGCAGCAGCTCCATGATGGCAAGGGTTTTTGTCTGTTCTGTTCATTGATGTGTACACATGGAGCTTAGGACAGTACAGGCACTTGGTGGATATTTGTTAAGTGAATGAGATTGTCATTTAAACAGCTGAGGCATAGAATTAAAACAGTTATTCATGAATCACATAAAATTATTAAATGTGTAAATAAATTCAGTTAATTATCTTATGTGTGAGAGATTACCTGATTTAACAGATAGGGACGGTGGGGCGGGTGCTGTGTCTTAGAAGTATTTTTCCATAGTGTGTCATGATTCCCTTGATTCAAGGAAACCCAGTATTGCCATAGAGGTAGTGAGGCAAAAGGTATGTTTATTATTCTTTTGCTAAGTGATTTGCTAAAAGTTAGAAAGTTGCTGTTTATTGAGTGTCTGCTGTATATTTTTCTTTTATTTTGAAATTTTAAATTTACAAAAAGCTCAGACTTTGCTAGCTATCCCAGTAATGCTTTTTTGTGGCAAAAGGATCCATTCAAGGACCACAGGTTGCATTTGGCTGTTGTGGTGTGTGGACTCTGCTGAATGATTTCTGAAGGGAGGCAGCAAGTGGGCCATGAGGCATCTGGGACTGGGCCAGAGACATGCATTGAGGTGAGAGTGGAAGCCATCCATGGGGGAGATGTGTGGACAGACACAGAGGGATGTCAGGATGAGGGTGGAAGCCATCCACAGGAGAGATGCGTGGACAGACACAGACAGGGTGTGGGGGTTAGAGTGGAAGGCATCCACGGGAGAAATACATGGAGAGAAGGATGTCGGGGTGCAGCTGGAAGGCATCCACGGGAGAGATGTGTGGACAAACACAGAGGGTTGTTGAAGTGAACAAGTGATGGAAAATTCAGATCAAAGCTGCAAAGGAGAATACTTGATTTTGCGTTCTATAGAACTTTTATAGACTTAGTTCCCAGATAATGTAACCACATGGAATTTGAAGTATACTGCTTTCCAAAATGGAGTTGCTTTGTTAAATTAAGAAGTATTATACTGTTTTAAAAATGAGGTATGTAATGGGAGGTTTTATGGTTACAGAATTTGACCTGTTACAGGTATTTTGTTTTGTTTTGTTTTGTTTTTCCTTGAAGGGAGGAAGGGAGTCAGGATCAGCAGTGCTGCCCAGTCAGGCTGTCTTCTATAAACTTAACTTGTTAACTGAATGGGATAAATGTGAGTGGTTTCTACATGAAAATTATGCAGTTCTGGGGTCTGTTTTCATTAAGTCATTTGTTGCATCACAGCCTTTCTGTACCGTATTTTTACTCTTAGCATGCAGTGCCTTGTAATGGTTGAAATGGATCTGTATTTACCTTCAATTGCTGTGAGCTAAGGAATTATGCGCAGTTGTACCGTACCATCCATAATATCTAAGATTTTATGCGTAGGATTGTTTTCTTTGAAATTTGCAATAAATTGTCCAAAATTTTGATTGTCACAGGGTTAGGGTTAGTATAGTTGTGATATCCGAGTAGAATACTGGTGATTCTGAAAATAATTGTATATAGTACTTAAATTTATCTAACAGAAGTTTATTATTCTTTCATAATACATCACTTCTATGTGAATTGGGTTTTGTTGCTTTAATATTTATTTACTATTACAGTACATGAGTTGTATAGATTATTTTCTGTATTGTTTTCTCTTAAGTTTCTCTTACTATTTGCCACAAGAAATTTTTTTATCATTTAAAAATCTTAAACTATATGTATGAACAGAACAAGGGTATAAGGGAGGATACAGGTAAACAGTGAAATGTAAACGTACTGTACTAAGTTGCTTTTGGTATTAAAATGATTAATAGTATATATCATGCAAGTAGCTTTTAGTTCACTTACACTTGTAGCTGTTCAGAACGATTCTTAAATTAACCTCGGATTCCAAGCCTCTGTGTTAGTCTCGTCGTTAGCTGATGCATGAATAACTGATTTTTCACGTAAAAATGAGAAGCAGGGCTTTGTTGCAGTTATCTGTGTACATGATGGGTGACTTTATTTATATTTTCCTGCATCATGCGTTTCTTACAGTGTATTTTCAATGCAGTATGTTCACCTTGTTTTTGCATAGGGTGCTGGTCAAGATAAACTAGGAATCTATGTGAAGTCGGTTGTGAAAGGAGGTGCTGCAGATGTGGTCAGTATCATTTTGAAGGAAGTGCATTTTCAGTGTGTCATATTCAGCAAATGATGTGAGAGATTCTGCTGCCACTTTTAGTTATGTAACACTATACAGTGTTTGTTGGAAGAACAAACAGGATATGTACTCATCATTACCTTTTCTTCCTCCCTTCACCCTTTGCTGTCCACCCCTAATCATGCACACACCTGTGGATGTGCCTAGGATGGACGTCTAGCTGCAGGTGATCAGCTCCTCAGCGTGGATGGACGAAGTCTGGTTGGGCTCTCTCAGGAAAGGTATCATTGATTTATGTGTTTGAAGCTTAGTATTAGCATTTTTAGGTGATTTTTGCATTAAGTTTTGAAATTGGAAGATGAAAACTATGCTAAAATGTTATGCTCATATTACTCTTTACCTTTGTTAGTATACGTGACATTTCAATTGTTACCAAATTATAAATACATATTTTATTCTAGTACAGTTTCTTTGAAACTTGAAAGAAACTTACTCTTGACACTTCTTTAAATTTTTGAATATTCTCTTACTGTTCTTAATATGATAATAGGAGATGTGTTTGCCTATGTTCATGGTCAGTTTTCAGAGGAAGAAAATGGGTAGTGAGTAAGCTGTCTGAAAGTCAGAACCATTACCCAAAATAATAGATGAGACTGTGGAATATGATTTTCAGTTGCTGTGATCACAGTTATTCATGACAGAGCAGGCACTGTGTTTCATTTTTCTTACATGTGTAATCTTCTCCTAGGGCAGCAGAACTCATGACAAGAACAAGCTCTGTGGTGACACTGGAAGTAGCAAAGCAGGGTGCCATCTACCACGGTCTGGCCACCCTCCTCAATCAGCCATCCCCCATGATGCAGAGAAGTAAGGACCAGTAGGGAAACAGTGGCCATGACCCTGTGTTTTATAGTCATGGCCTCTTTGCATAGTCACAAAACCCCATGGAAGAGGTACTGGTGTTACTGTTGCCCCACTTTTAAAGATAAGGAAATTGAGGATGAGAGCGCTTAAGCTCAGAGCCAGGGATTCCCATGTGGGACGTCTGACTTTGGAGCCCACACTGTGAGTCACCAGGTCCCCTCCCTGTCATCAGGAGCCATTCAGCTTCACCCTCACAGGGCTGGCTGACTGCTGGTGAGCTCTCGTAGGCCCAGCACACGGCGGGTGCTCAGAAGGGAGTGAATGTGACACGTTAAGGATGAACTGGGAAAAACTAGAGAATGAATGAACAGTTTTCAGTTTTGATAGGCAGACTCAGGATTTCAAGTGTTGAAAGAGTACATTCAGTTCTTCACTGAAGAAATAGGCATTTATTTGTATCTGAGTAGTTCCTTTAGTCCTGCATATGCTGAGATAGGGCATGATGATCACGTTACGTACACAGTCATGCATCGCCTGGCAATGGGATGCATTCTGACAAACTCATTCTTAGTTTATCTCATCACTGTGTGCACCTCACACTGTACTCACACAAGCCTAGATGGTGTCGCCTGTTGCTTCTAGGCTGCAGACCTGTACAGCAAGTTACTGTACTGAATACTGCAGGCAACTAGGATTCAGCGGTAACATATCTAAACATAGAAAAACTACAGTAAAAAACAAAACAAAACAGAGTAAAAGAGTAACAGTGCTACACCTGTAAAAGGCCACTTACCCTGCGTGGGGCTTGTAGGACTGGAAGTTACCCTGGGGAGTCTGCGAGTGAGTGGTGAGTGAATGTGAATGCCCAGGACGTGACCATAACTACTATAGACTTCATAAACACTGCACACTTCAAATTTAAGAAAAAAAAATTCTTTAATAGTAAATTAACAGCTTGCTGTCACTTTTTTTACTATGTAAAATTTTACATTTTAAAAGCATTTCTGACTCTTGTAATACTTCGTTTAAAACACAAATATTGTACAGCTGTACAGAAATATATGTTTTTTTAATATCCTTACTCTATAAGTGATTTTCTGTTTTTTATTTTAAATTTATCTTTTTGGTTAAAATCTCATACATAAGCACACACATGAGCTTCGGCCTGGTGGAGGGTCAGGGTCATCAGTGTCACTGTCTTCCGCCTCCACATCTGGTCCACAGGAAGGTCTTCAGGGCAGTGACATGCCACAGAGCCATCACCTCCTGTGATGACAGTGCTTTTTTCTGGAAGGTCTCCTGACAGACCTGCCTGTGGCTGCCTCACCATTAACTTTTTTCTATAAGTAAAGAGAGTACACTCTAAAATGACAATAAAAAGTATAGTATAGTAAACTGGATGAATCGTACCCTATTACATTGTGACATTATCCGGTATTATATACCGTGTGTAACTGTATGAGCTGGACTTGTGTACAGCTAGCAGAGCAGTCTGGCGTGACCACAGACACGAGGAGTGCATTGTGCTGCAGCTTTACCCTGGCTAAGACATCATTAGGAGATGGGCATTTTTCAGCTCTGTTATGATCTTAGGAGACTACTGTCACAGGTGTGGTTCATTGACCAACATGGGCTTATTTGGTGCATGATGGTAATTCACTTAAAAATCTTAGTTATTTAAATAACTTATTTTTGGGAACTGTGGTTTTATAGCTACATCAAAAAGAATCTCAGAATAAAATCAGTGTAATTTGGGGCTTTTAAAATAATTAGTTCAGACACAATAGGAGAAAACCATTATGATTCACATTCTCTCTTAAATCATTATATGCCCTCCAGATCAGTCTTACTGCACCTTGTTAAATGTTTACATAGGCTTCTTAATATGACCTTTATGGCCTTCTCCTCCATCAGGTAGGATTCTAGAACCTCAAGCTGGTACCTTGTATAACAAATCACAGCTAAAACCAAGGTGTCAGAAAACCTGGCCTGCGGCTTACTGAAGCAGACACAGCACACAAGGGACATCGCAGCGAAACCTAGTGTGGCGTTGTCTCCCTTGCTCAGCACGTGTTTTACGTAGAACTTAACATCTTGGTTGTCTGATTTCTTAGTTTACCGTCATTTAAAAGAACCAAACTAGAATACGAGTTAGAAATCACAGAGGGAGGCTGTGAACAGTAGATGAACCAGGGTAAGCAAGCAAAAGGGAGGAGAACCGCCAGCGCCAGCCAGGAGCAGAAGGCTCACGCCACGTGACGGCTGCTCAGGACAACCACGCGGGGGCTTAAGAGCTCAGATGTTATTTCTAAGAAGTCAGGGAAGCATGTTTATCTTTAACGTTTTTTAAAAATGTACTTTAAAAATGTTTAGATTTGTTTCTTAGAACAGTGAAATGAGAAAATAAGCTTTGAAAGTGTTCATCTTCTCGTCATTACCAATTAAGTAAAAATATTTTCTTTATTCTCAGTATCTATTTAAGAGCTGTTTTATGATTCTGTAGAAAGAACTGGCCTTCATAGGGAAGATCACCTTATTTCTTATGCTAAGAACCATTCTTACGGAATTTTAATGATAATCAGGGTGTTGAAAATAAAATCTTAAGAGATACTGAATGAATGTACTTTGATTCCAGTTTCAGATCGCCGTGGCTCAGGTAAACCCCGACCAAAGAGTGAAGGCTTTGAGCTCTATAATAATTCAGCTCAAAATGGGTCTCCTGAGAGTCCTCAGCTGCCTTGGGCAGAATATAGTGAACCAAAGAAATTGCCTGGTGATGATAGACTGATGAAAAATAGAGCTGATCACCGTTCCAGCCCCAACGTAGCAAGTAAGAGTGACACTTTCTTGCTCCTAAGTACACTCACGGTCACAGTCTGAAGCGAGAGGAGGCAGTTTGTGGTTTGTTAATTACTAAATTAAAATTATTCTCTGCAAGCATTGGCTAACTAGGATGTGTTTTTCATAAGGGATATCATAAGTAACATTTCTCTAACAAGAACTAAGATGGAAACTCTTTAGATTCAGTTAATGCAGTAAGCAAATACATTAATAACATCTCTGTTTGGGGTTGGCAAATTACCAACAGGAACTAAAATTATTTTTTACATTTTTAAAGGGTTGTTAACAAAGAGCAGAAGAAATAATAGAAGGATATACAGCAGGAGACAAAGGCTCACAAAGCCTGAAGTTTTTACTTTCTGGCCTGTTAACAAAAATGTTTACCAGTCCCTGGCCTGGTACGCAGAGTTACTGAGGTTTTTTTTGTAGCTCTGGGCTCTGATGATTTACAGATAGATGTGGATATGACAAAACCTGATTTCTCGTCTGCCTTGATTTTTTTTTTTTTTTTTTTTTGTGTGTGTGTGTGTGTCTCTGTGCGAGACACCTCACTAGCAGTATGAAAATGAATGAGGCCTTTAGGGAGCTTTTATGTTATATGTACTTTGTTTATGTAATATTAAGCTTTTTTTCCCCCTCCTGACTTGAACAGATCAGCCTCCTAGTCCTGGAGGGAAAGGTGCATATGCCTCTGGAACAGCAGCGAAGATAACATCTGTCTCTACTGGAAACCTCTGCACCGAGGTCTGATTGATTGATGGGCAAAAGCCTTTTATTGCACTTCCATACTTAGGTTTCCCTTGGAACAGCTCAGTTATCTAGTAGAGTTTTTACTCTGAGTTAGCATTGATCATAATTGCTAAATCTGCAGTGTTTTATCTTTTGATTTTTAATATGTTAGGTAAACCAGTTTTAAATTAAGTCTGGGCAAAATGAAATGTTATTATTCTCAGTATGGATCAAACACTTTTTAGTGCATTACTTAACATAGTTACTGTTTTTCAAATTTTAAAACAGATAATTGAAAATCAGGTTAGTCTGTGTGGTTGCAAAAAGCTCACTTTTGCTTGTTCTTCACATTTTACAGGAGCAGAGTCCTCCGCCTAGACCTGAAGCCTACCCCATCCCCACTCAGACGTACACCAGAGAGTATTTTACCTTCCCAGCTTCCAAATCCCAGGATCGGATGGCTCCTCCTCAGAACCAGTGGCCAAATTACGAAGAAAAGCCACATATGCACACAGATAGTAATCATTCCAGTATTGCAATTCAGGTTAGAAATCAAAGATCCCACACACTTTCCTCACCTGTCAAGCAGTGAAAACAGTTCTGAGACACAGTTGATACTTTCTGTAGAACAGCATTGTCGACCTTTTATTTTTTTCTTTAATGGTTTTGTGGTTAAGTTTGAGGAAAAAGGGGGATAGAATTGAATACTCAGTAAGAAAAAGGATTCTTTGTTCTCTGATGTTTGATTAACAAAATGTTAGTAATAGAAGACCTTACAATTTTTTAGACAAAGTTCACTGATTTAGAAGTGAGAAATTAGAACTCAGGTGTTATATTTTGCACTTTTTTTTTTTTTTTTTTTTTTTTGAGACGGAGTTTTGCTCTTGTTACCCAGGCTGGAGTGCAATGGCGCGATCTCAGCTCACCGCAACCTCCGCCTCCTGGGTTCAGGCAATTCTCCTGCCTCAGCCTCCTGAGTAGCTGGGATTACAGGCACACGCCACCATGCCCAGCTATTTTTTTGTATTTTTAGTAGAGACGGGGTTTCACCATGTTGACCAGGATGGTCTCTATCTATTGACCTCGTGATCCACCTGCCTCGGCCTCCCAAAGTGCTGGGATTACAGGCGTGAGCCACTGCGCCCAGCATATTTTGCACTCTTTCTACCTGGAGCTGTCCTTGCCTGTGGGAGCTCATGGTGTGGCGGGGAAATGCTGCAGAAGAAGTCAGCCTTGGACGAGAACTTGGCCACAGCTGCGTGCACAGAAGGGCCTTCCAGGAGGAGGGCAAGGCACTGAGATGGGCAGTAGTTCAGCAGGAAACCTGGGTGGAGGGAAGGGAATGGCAGGATCTAGGGCAGCGAAGGTAGGCAGGGCCAGACAGAGGGCTTGACATGACAGCTCAGGAATTTGGATTTTGTCCACATTAGTAGAGAAGAGATGCCATGCTGAGTAGTTAAGCTGGGGAACATTATCAAATGTGATTTTCTTTTTAGAAAAGTAGCTATTTGTATGGTGAAAGACTGGGAGAAGAAATTAAAGATATGCTTAAAGGAACAGTCTAGGATCTGTAACAAATATGTGCTCTGGATCGCAAATGCTGCAGGAATTCTGAAGATCCACATTCTTAGAGTGGTTGGCAAAGACTAAATTCAGAGTTGAGATGGGATTTGAGCCGAGCCTTGAAAAATGGGTAAAATGGGCAGAGGAGAGAGGGTTGCACTGAGGAGCTGGATGCTGTGATCCAGATGAGGAGGAGCCTGTTTTCTGAGGGCAGAAAGCACTCCTCAGGCCACAAATGTTGGCCATCAGGAGATTTCTTGTCCTTTTGTCTGGTCTGCTGGTCATTCCTCCAGTTTTCCTAGGTGGGCCTGATCGCCTAGGCTCAGTCTTGGGAGTTTCGGATGTCCTCTGTCACCAAAAGCTGGAGTTCTTTGGGAGAAGGTGTCTTCCCCCAAATTTCTCTTTAAAAATAGAGTTATTTTGTGCCCTAGTTTTTATAGTATTTTTTGTTAGAACTTAGGAGAATCTACTTCCCATGTTTAAGACAACCCAATTTGTAGTGCACACATGGAGTCCCATCTTTACACACATTATTTCCTGTTTTGTGGGGATGCCATTAAGTCTTCACATTCATAGTATAGAGCTGCTGCCTGTTTCTACCTCACAATTTGGATAAACAATACCTAGAGGAGAAAGTTGAGAAACTGAGGCCAGAATGTTGAATGACTGAAGAATTATGATGGGATTTAAGCTGGGAGGTGGAGAGTTCGAGCCAGCAGCCAGGGCCAGTGTGAAGTCTTAAAGGAGCAGAAGAGTGACTCAGGTCAGCCCTTCCAGCAGCAGTGAGAGGTGTTAGGCACAGTCTCTGTTTTTATGTGGTCCATGGATTTCGTACCCCAATAATGAGACTATTTCTGTGTCCTAAGTAAAGCTCTAGCAAAATGTTAAGAGTAAATGTTCAATTTTTATTTGAGACTACTGCTTTTTGAAGCAATACTAAATCTTGTTGGTTTGCTTTTTGAGAAAAAGGAAACAATTTGTTTTCCCAGTTTACATCTTTAATTTCTACTCATTAACAGGGCAGGAAAAAGATGTTTGATGCATACCTCATAGTGATCCTGTTTATCTGAATAGACTCCTTTCAGATGTGCCGTTTTTCAGCCTTCAGACTAGCCCTTTGGGAAAAGTGTACTCATTTCAGTCTCTCTCTCTCTCTCTCTCTCTCTCTCTCTCTCTCTCTGTGTGTGTGTGTGCGCGCTTGCACGTGTCTGTGCGCTCTCTCTGTGTGTGTGAGCGCCCGTGTGTGTGTGTGCCCTCTCTCTCTCTCTCCCCCCCACCTCCCTCTCTCTCTCAAACACACACACACACACACACACACACACCTTTTTCTTCAACAAATTTATACCAATACATTGTGAGGCTTTGTATCTCAGATGTGTAGGAAGTGTCCTTGCCTTACTGTGCACGGCTTTGTCAAAGAGCTCAGGAAGCCAGTCCTCAGCTTGCAAAATTTAGAAAGTCGCAGATGGTTAATTGGTGAGATTTAGTAATTACTCGTAATAGAAATTAGAGAAGTTCCCATTGTCGATTTTTACGTATATGACCAGTCACACTCATTGCTTTGAAGTCCAAGTCCAAGTCGCATGTCGCCCAGCACTGGAGGTGGTACAGGGTACTGCAGGAGGGTGAGGAGGGTGAGGATGGCCACTGGCGCCGAAGGGCCTCTGCAGAGAGAAAGGGCAGCTTTGCCTTTTTCTCCCCCATTGAGACAGAGACTGTTTTGCCCAGGCTGGTCTCAAACTCCTGGGCTCAAGCAATCCACCCACCTCAGCCTTCCAAAGTGCTGGCATTATAGGTGTGAGCTACCATGCTCGGCCGCTTTTTGTTCTTTTTACAGGTGCGTTCACTGTTGCTCCACGTTAACCAGTGAGCCATATAGGGCAGTCTCAGTCTCCTTCTGTACATCAACAGGTTTTCTTCTTTCTGAAGATACAATGTTTGTGGATATTTCGTAATTTCTAGTAAATGGCCAAAATACAGTTCTTTTTCTTTTTCCAGCGTGTGACGCGTTCCCAAGAAGAACTTCGAGAAGATAAAGCTTACCAGCTTGAGCGGCATCGAATAGAGGCGGCCCTAGACCGCAAGTCCGACAGTGATATGTGGGTAAATCAGAGCTCCTCACTGGACTCCAGTACATCTAGCCAAGAGCACCTGAACCATTCCTCTAAGCCGGTCACCCCTGCTTCCACGCTGACCAAAAGCGGCCCTGGCCGTTGGAAAACACCAGCAGCTGTACCGCCCACCCCTGTGGCCATTTCCCAGCCCCTCCGAACAGACCTGCCTCCGCCACCCCCGCCACCTCCTGTCCACTATGCTGGTGATTTCGATGGAATGTCCATGGATCTGCCTCTCCCACCACCTCCTTCTGCCAACCAGATAGGACTGCCATCTGCGCAGGTGGCTGCTGCAGAACGGAAAAAGAGAGAAGAGCATCAGCGCTGGTATGAGAAGGAGAAGGCCCGCCTGGAAGAGGAGCGGGAGAGGAAGCGGAGAGAGCAGGAGAGGAAGTTGGGCCAGATGCGTGCTCAGTCCCTAAATCCTGCTCCGTTTTCTCCCCTGACCACACAACAGATGAAGCCCGAAAAGCCTTCCACCCTCCAGAGGCCCCAAGAAACCGTCATCCGGGAGCTGCAGCCTCAGCAGCAGCCCCGCACCATCGAGCGCAGGGACCTGCAGTACATCACAGTCAGCAAAGAGGAGCTGTCCTCAGGGGACAGTCTGTCCCCTGACCCGTGGAAGCGCGACGCGAAGGAGAAGCTGGAGAAGCAGCAGCAGATGCACATCGTGGACATGCTGAGCAAGGAGATCCAGGAGCTCCAGAGCAAACCGGACCGCAGCGCCGAGGAGAGCGACCGGCTGCGCAAGCTCATGCTGGAGTGGCAGTTCCAGAAGCGACTCCAGGAGTCGAAGCAGAAGGATGAAGATGACGAGGAGGAGGAGGATGATGATGTGGACACCATGCTGATCATGCAGCGCCTGGAGGCTGAACGAAGAGCGAGGGTAAAGGGGGGAGTGCTTTGGCTCTGCCTATCTGTGGGCCCTGTTTTCTTAGCTTCTTCGGCTTTCTTATGGGGGTAGCTAGGCCCTGATCTTGATAAGGATTAAAAGCGCCCCTAGGTTTATAATATTTTATTGTATATATGACTTTTGGCTGATGTCATAGAGAAATGAGTCAGGGCTATAAGGCTAAATTTTTTGAGACATGCTTTGACAAGTATTAAATACAGTTCAGATGGAACTTGTTTTCATTAGCAAACTCATAATTATCTTTCTCCTTAACATTTCAGTTGAGAAAACAAGTATTTGTTAATGACCAGTAATAATCTTGATCCGGGGTTGGCAAAATTTGTCTTCCTGGGCCAAACTGATATTTTAGTCTTTGCGGGCCATGTGGACTCTGGCAGCACCCAGCTCTGCGATTGTAGTGCAAAGCAGCCACAGACACACATAAACACATGGGCCTGTCTACGTGCAAATAAAACTTTATTTACAGAAACATAGGGCAGATCATTGGCTGGCCCCTGGTCTTGATTGTCAGCACTTTGTGATGGTTAACAAATGAAACTGTTCAGATCATTACATTTACAGTCCTTACCAAAAACAGAATCTTCACAGTAGTTGTACTGTTGAAGAAACAAGCATTTATTGAGGTAATAAACAGTTATATTCCAACTGAAGCATAGAGATACTGAGAGCTGATTTTACTCTTATTTCTCCGTATTATATAAATGATTTTTGTTTTAAATAAAAGAACAAAAGTAAAATTTAAATTCATTTAACAATTGTTATGCAGAAATTTTAGATAAAGGCAAGACTATAAGAAGAACGGTTGAGTCATTTATTGTTACTAATTTGGGCATTTATTAATATTAATTTACAGAAAATGCTGTTGACCATATTGTGTTCATGAGTTTTAGTGATTTTATTTTTTAAACACAATGCAATATTCTGAGAAAAGATGGCCAGAGCCATGTTCTTTTTATCTTCTGGATTCTGTTTCTAATCTTAACTATTTTTTTATGCTGTTTAGTGTAAAGCTCTACCAGGAGCTATTAGGTCAGACATTTTGATCTTTTTACCTCACAGTGAAATTTGACTTAGGTAATAATCTGTGAGTCTTTAGATCCTTAGAGCCCAGCAGTGTGATTCTTTTTCACTTTGCTCTGTGAATTTTTTCTGAAATGTCTCTCTCTCACATACTTCTTAATATGTACATATCTCAGCCAAAATGTGTATATATGTAAAACTTTCCCCAAAACTCAGCTTGCGTTCCCTTAGACGCTTAAGTTTCTTAAATGAAGCCAAAGTGTGAATTATTACATTGTTTTACTACTGTTGTTATTAGTATCACATTTGTCAAGTCATCAGTAGTAAAATTCCCGATGGATAGCTAGCTGTGTTTACTGTAAGCACTGTTTTATTTGAAAAAGCAACCACTACATTAATAGCTAGTTTACTTTAAAATAGCTTCAAAAATATAGTACTTTAAAAGTACTATGTTCCCCGTTGAGGATTCTTGGAGTGATCGTCCCTCCCCATCAGAGCTGTCCGGGAGGTGCTGGGCCTACCGGTACCAGGTGTGTGTTCCTCTGCCTGGCCGGTGTCACTCATGGGTATGCTAAGACGGATTCATGAGGAACCTAAGGGCCTGTTCGGCCTTGTGTTGCCCGCACCGCAAAAGCCAAAAGGATGCCTTCCCTTCACTGCGTTTTCAGCTCGGAGTATACAACTATTGTGTATAGCAGATAAATCAACAGCATCAGCACTATTCACTGTTGTACCCTGACAATGGTGAAAACTTAGCAAATGCCTTGTAGTATCTCTGTAATTATTCTTTTCTGTGAGGACTAAACTTTTGAGTCTCTCAGTTTTTCCAAATGGTTAAAACATTGAATATTTCAAAGTCTTTTAGTATGAATCATGATATTTGAAAAGTTTCTTATGATAATTCAGTAAAAAAAATTTGTTTTTTGCTTAGTCGTTCTATTACAATTAGTATCTTGGTCTCCAAATCTAAGGGAAATTTTGCTGTTTTTTATTTTCTATGTATCCTAACGATGAAACTCATTGAATACCATGCGGATGTTTTTCTGTTTCTGAATACTAGAAGTTAGTCTGTAGTTCTTTATCTTTCTCATCAAGTTGTCGAAACACAGATGACGCATGACAGTGACAAAATATGCCGATGGCAGATTACAGGTCTGAACCTAACTTTTTTTTCCACACTTCATCTTTCTTTTTTTTTTTTTTTTCTTTCTCTGTTACCTGCAGCAGACTGCTGTGCCAGCAATCTCTGTTCTAGATTTGGTATGTTCTTGTTTCTTTCCCTTTGGTACTTTTTTCCTGTCTTGATTTTCTTTTCTTTCAGTGGTGGCTGTTTGATGTTTTTAGTAGATCAGTTCTCCGTAGGGGTGTCCTCCATCAGGAGATGGGGTTCCTGACACTTTAGAAGCATGCCTTTGAATGTTCCTAGATTTAGTCACTCTTTGCTTTTCTTTGTTAATTTTAAGTGTTACTGTTTGTTTATGGTTTTGACCCTTTCTCAGTTTCAGTCATGAATTGATTCCGTGTATTCTTACGTAGTCATAAATACATAAACAAATGAAATAAATTTTGCAATGAGTAATCTATTTTATTCTTTTCATGTTAGACATAGATTTTAAATATTCAGTTGTTACAAACTTAGTTGAAAGGGTATTGACATTATTTGCCAATTAAGATATAACTGTCTATTGGTGGAGTAAGAGATTTTCAGTGACATGTATTCTGTTTTCTTTGCTAATATTACATAGATTTTATCAGCCATGCCAATTTATCAGTTTGCTGAAAAATACTTTAGGTCGTGCTCTATTGTAAATTCAAAGTGTTTATTGTCATATTGGGGAAATTTGGCTGTCAGTTAGGGCCTATTATGCTCGAGTATGGTATCTTTATCACCTGCTAGACAATTACACTGTGACTGATATATTTATATAAACTTGAAGACAAATTCTCATCAACTTTTAAAGACAAAAGTCAGTATCAGGCAGTACATTTAAAACCTATGAATCAAGGTTTGACTTGAATGGTCTTTTCATTAAATAATAGTCCTTTTTCTTTTTTCCCCTCCGCTGAGAACAGTGGCAATATTGCCTTAGAGATTAACCCTTCCTCCCTCCCTCCCTGCCTCCCTCCCTCCCTCCCTCTACCTCCCTCCCTGCCTCCCTCCCTCCCTCTACCTTCCTTCCTGCCTCCCTCCCTCCCTCTACCTCCCTCCCTGCCTCCCTCCCTCCCTCTACCTTCCTCCCTGCCTCCCTCCCTCCCTCTACCTTCCTCCCTGCCTCCCTCCCTCCCTCTACCTTCCTTCCTGCCTTCCTTTTTTTTTTTGAGTTGGAGTCTTCCTCTGTCACCCATGCTGGAGTACAATGGTGTGATCTCTGCTCACCATAACCTCCTCCTTTTGGGTTCAAGTGATCCTCCTGCCTCAGCCTCCTGAGTAGCTGGGATTACAAGCATGTGCCACCACCACACCAGGCTAATTTTTGTATTTTCAGTAGAGCTGGGGTTTCGCCATGTTGGCCAAGCTGGTCTTGAACTCCTGACCTCGTGATCCACCCGCCTCAACCTCCCAAAGTGCTGGGATTACAGGTGTGAGCGCTTTCTTAAAAATACTTCCCCTCCTTGGTGATTGGAAGTCATATTTTCTGAGCTCTGCATTTTTTTTTTACATGAAAGATTTAAAAGTACACATTTTTCTCCCTACTTTGTGTGTTTCAGTGTATGTAGCTGTGGCTGGAAGATGTGACTCAGATTCACCTTAATGTGAGATCTTAATTCAGCAGGTACTTGCTCAGCATCCATGGCATGGTGAGCACTGACCTGAGGCACTGAAGATACCAGCCAGGTCTGCAGGCCCAAAGAGAGCTTCTTACACTGTGAAGAATTCTATGACACATGAACAGTAACACTTAAGAATTTGTTTCACAGAAATAATTAAGCTTTTCTTTCTTTAAAAGATAATTATTTTGAGCATTAATATTTATCTTAACCACGTTTGTGGGCATTTCTTAGCCCATTTCCTGAGTAAATATTATTTACAGCACCTCATTATTTATAGAATTCTTGCCGGGCATGGTGGCTTATATCTGTAATCCCTGCACTTTGGGAGGCCAAGGGAGGCAAATCACGGGAGGTCAGGAGTTCAAGACCAGCCTGGCCAACATGGCAAAACCTCATCTCTAAAATACAAAAATTAGCCAGGTATGGTAGCAGGCACCTGTAATCCCAGCTACTCAGGAGGCTGAGGGATGAGACTCGCTTGAACGCGGGAGGTGGAGGTTGCAGTGAGCTGGGATTGTACCACAGCACTCCAGCCTGGGGGATAGAGTGAGACTCTGGCTCAAAAAAAGAAAACGAAAAAAAATCTATAGAATTCTTGGTATGTAAGAGTTAGCATGTTACCCTAGGAGACCCTATTCTGTTACTAGCCCTCTCCCTACTATGGATAAGGACAAATGGGTGACTACGTATTTGGTAGTGAGTGACACTACCCAGTTGGTTCTTAAGATATTTTCTTAGACACATCACTGATTTTCAGGTAGATCATCAGGTAAGTGAGGCAGGTCTTCTCCTGTGTGGAAGCGGCTGAGTTTCCTAACGTTGGGAGGCTGCCTGCACTGGTTTCTGCTCTTCCCTCTGGTCTCTCTGTGACCCGTCACTCCTGGGAGTGCAGGGCCCGCCTTCTCCATCCTCTGTGCTCACTTCGACCTGAGATGGCAGCACATCTGGATGTCAGCAGTGTCCCCATTTAATTTCTCGTCCAGACTTCCTGCACACTAAAGACTCAGATACCCACCTGCCCATGTAACATCTCCACATGGAGTCAAGTAAGACTTTTCAAATGCAGCATGCTCAGAGGGAGATCTTTGTCTCCTTAACTCACCCTGCCCTGCTGATCATTCTGCCTTCAGCCTTCCACATTTCAGCTGATACTTTGAGTTGCTCAGACAAAAAACCTCACA